ATTCTAGCTATCTATCTGAAAGTATTACTAGTTTGCCTTCTCTAGAGAACCCAGACTAACACAGCTTTATATCCTATTAAAAGTATTAGGATCTCATTTTAGAAGTTGGGCAGGAGAAGTTGCGTAAAGGGAGAAAGTAGTATAATAAAAATCTTGTTGTGAAAGTAGTCATAGACCCTAAAGAAAGAACCCTAAGATGGAACTTGTCTTGGCACCATTGGCATTCTCAGTGGCAATTTCTTTTCAGTAACTGAGAAAAGAAGATAGAGGATAGGTTTTTGGTGCTTTTGTTATTTGATGTATGTGCATTAGCATATGTTTACATTCCTAAAGAATTAAAACTTAATATTATGTCTTTTCAAAGATTAATACTCAATAAAAGGATTACCAAGTAGATAACATTTTCCATTGGGTAACATACTTGCCTTTGGGTTGTTTGCATCAAATAAACCAGTTGAAAGACCAATCAGCAAAGAACTCTTGCTTTTATGTTTTGGTGGTGAATCAGAGCGAGATCGAACTGGAAAGGGCTCTTCTGGTGAACACTGAATTAATTGAACTTGAGAGGTTATTTTCAAGTCTTCAGACTGAACCACTTTATGGAAAAATGGTTCTGGTTGCATAGATTTATCTATATCACTTTTAGAGTGCAGCAAATCATCTATTTCAGGCTCTGTGGTGTAAAAAAGAAATTATGTGAAAGTCTATATGACATGCTATTAAGAGATTGTGATACGTCACTTATTTTTAACTTGAATATTAAAATAATTGATAAAAAAAGTTCATTGTCTATGTTGCCATACATTCCAGATTTATTAACCAGTGCATCCAGTACTGCAGGCCTATCACATTTTCTAGATAACTGAGTTGATTGATAAGTAATTCTCACTAGTTATATGTTGTACAAATAAAACATGTTGGCACTAAAAATGTTCTAGAAATGAATTAGTGTTATGCAATTATATTTACCTGTATGAATTTCACTAAATTGGTTGACATTGCTCAGATTTTCATCTCCAGAAATTTCATTTGGCTGAATGGTGATTCTGTCTTCCAACCTGTCAAACAAACATGAGTACTCCAGTTAAAAAACCAACAAAATTTACTAAAAAACACTAAAATATAGAAAATGGAACACAAGTTCACTAGCATCCTGGTGATAGCTCTTCTCATCTGCCTACATACTTTCTCTCGTAAGCACATTATACTTCTTATCCTGTTGAAACCTTCAACAATCATTATCACTACAAAATCCATACCTTAAAACAGCATGGCCCCCAGACAAAAGCAGCACATGGAAACATGTAAGAAATGCAAATTCCCATGTAACTCATACTAAATTTATGAATTAGAAACTCTAGAAGCTGAGGTCCAGAAATTAGTGCTTAATAAACTTCAAAGTATTCTGCTGCATGCTGATGCATGAGAAGTGAAATAGCCTTGGTGGTGGTGTTCGGTGGTGTTCGGCCAGTTCAATTTGTAGCGAGTGACCCAAGGAATAACAGAACGATATACCTCCCTGTCTACGCCATCTCATAATCGTTCTGTGCTTGAGCTCATTGTTGCAGCTATGGTGTCTATCCATCTCATGGAGGGTCTTCCTCTTTTTTGCTGCCCCTCCACTCTACCAAGCATGCCCTTCTCTAGAGACTGGTTTAATGGTGTAATCCATAAAACATTTACAATATACTAATATTACAGAAAATCATGTGTTAAATGTTAAAAAAGAAAGAAGCAAAGTATATAAATTTTAACTTGAACAACAGCCAATATACTACCAAGAAACTAATTTTCAGAACAATTTCTATTGTCTGGTGCTTGTTCTTAAAAAACAAACAAACAAACAAACAAACAGATGTACAGCTCAGAAAAAGAAATAGAAATGTATAATTCCTTTATGTAGAGGGAAATAAGATTGAGAACAGTTCGAAATTATTAAATATATGTATTACACATTTTATCCAGAATGTTAAAGATGGGCAGAATAAAGAATCAATCATTTATATGATGTGGGGAGGAGCTTGTTAACATCTGTGGTTTTTTTACTTCCTTGTTTAACATCGTCTACTTTTGCAACTGGTTCCAAATTTTAAACAATTTCCTTTATTTTTAATAGTTAATTACACAAGTAGTACATTGCTTCAAATATATTAGTCTTTGGTACTTCAAATTGTAAACATATGATTACCCAATGACCTAGCAATTACACTGTTATGAATAAACCAAAAGTAATAAAAATGGTTTTTTGTTTGTTTGTTTGTTTGTTTTTTACTGTTATATATATATATTTTTTTTCTTTTTTAACATTTTATTAGGGGCTCATACAACTGTTATCCCAATCCATACACACATCAATTGTGTAAA